CACGGTTTTGTTGTTATGATTATTGATAGTTTATTATGCTGTGGTTTCTCTAACAAATCCCTTACTATTTTATTCAGTTTATTCTCTCCTTCTCCCTCTCTCAGCTCTCTTCATCTCCTCCTCCGTTTCCTTCCCTGCTGTCCGTCCGCTCCTAGACCATTGCATGATTATGTCAATGCATATATTCCTTAATATACACGTCTCTTTCTTTCCATAATGTATGGGTTCGATTAAAAAGTGTGAAAAAATTGAATTAATTTCGTGTTACAATATTTTTTTTTTCGATTGCCAGCTCATGGTTGCTGGATTTCCTCTAGGTTAATCGCTATTTGTGTGCCAAATTAAATATAGTGTACATACCACGTATACAAGCAAATGAATATGTGTAGATAAATATAATGTCCCTCTCTCTCAAAATGCATATATATATATATATATATATATATATATATATATATATATATATAATATATATATAAATGTGTATGTAGATATGAATTATGATGTATGTAATTCATACATTTTTTTTCTCTCCCTCTAGCCCTCCTCTCTCTCCCCCTCTCCCCCCTCTCTCTCTCGTTACGTCGTCGCTTTTCCAAATGTTTATCCATCTATCTATAACAGAAAGGAGCTGGCTCATTTCTCGCCGTAAAAAGGCTCAGCTGATTCGATAGGAAGTTTGCCGATAAGGACTAATTTGCGATACCTTCGCGCCCAAATAGACGGTTTTGTTGTTGTTATGATTATTGATAGGAAATTATTGTGGATTCTCTGACAATAATATATAACAATTGTAATTAGTTAATCGCTATTTGTGTGCCAACTCATTAAATATAGAGTAATGTATATAAATATAGATATATATTTTTTTGTCTCCCCCCTCTCTCTCAAAATCCTTAATTTATTAATATTTGTGTATGTGTGTGTATATATATATATATTATATATATATATTGTTATCAAAATTTTCATCGTTATCATTGATTGAGCCGCCTTCTGAGTGTGATCCGGTCCGTCCGGCGATTGGGATCGGTGTGGAGCTGCCCTATCCAGGCATCCTTCTTTACCTTCTCACGGTAGACTGCGCGAGGGACCCCGAGATGGTTCTTGTTCTTTTTCCCTGCGGCGGCATTTTACATTATATATATATATATATATATATATATATTATATATATATATATATATATATAATATTGTTATCAATGTACATTAATTTTCATCGTTATCATTGATTGAGCCGCCTTCTGAGTGTGATCCGGTCCGTCCATTTCTGGCAAAGGATCGCCTCTGAACACGTGGTGTTGCTCCACTCGCTCGTGGCCATGTCGCTTATCATGGTGGCGATCGTTTTCATATTATAATCTTTTACCATTTACTTTTTTTTCTAGGTTTTTGCGGCAGGCTGTTTTCATTTTGTTTTTTGTTTTTCGACAGTTTGTCCTGCTCGGCGGCGGATTGTATCGGTGGAAATTGCAGAGGATCGAATTTGAATGTCGGAGGATGGCTGCCCTATCCAGCGGGGTAGGGGCATAGGCATCCTTCTTTACCTTCTCACGGTAGACTGCGCGATGGTTCTTGTTCTTTTTCCCTGCGGCGGCATTTTACAGAATTTAATTGACCTCCTCGGCAAATTCCTTTACATTCTTTCCCTCGCCATTCACGAAGAGGCACTGTGATGCCCTTTCAATGTGGACCTCCACATTGTGCTTTTCACCGAGTTCCGACAGGCGACTCCCTCCTTTCCCTATTACTAAAGGGATGAGGTTGGGGTCGTAGGGGATGCGCAGGCCTTAACGGGACTAAATATCATTTAAAGCTAAAGTAAAGGCATTAATATCTCTTTCTTTTCCTGTGACATAAAATCCTTATGGCCCACCACTCACATAAACATTGTAGTGAATACAAAAATTTCCGAACTAGTAGTCGCTAAATCCTACAATGCCCCGTTGGTGTGTTGCTATTTATAAATGCCTTGTCACTCGTTTCCCCTCTGCGGCCTTTTATTAAATTTTTAAAACTTCTGCCTTAAATCCCTCTACATGTTACGGCGTCCCACCACCCAGAAACAGTTCATAAATCGGTCGATCTTCACCTAAACATAGTGCTTGCGGCAAATATCTGTGAGGCGCCGACCACCCTTCCCAAGCAATAGGGCGATCGATTCTTCGAGGTAGGGAACTACATGGTACAGGTCGGTGATGCCCTCGCTGGTCTCCTCTGGCTGCACGTCGGCCGTCGGATCCCCATCGCAGCTGGGCACGTCTTCGTTGGTCAGTGGAGGGGTAGACTCCTTTTGGTGTTGGAGGGGGTGCACCTCTTGAAAGCAGGGAGAGGGGGTGGGAGAGGGCACCATCGGTGGCGAAGGCTTCTGCCATGCTTCTGCGATCGAAGCTGCTTCTGCCGATGGCGAAGCTGCTTCTGCCGATGGCGAAGCTGCTTCTGCCGATGGCGAAAAGCTGCTGCCGAAGCTGGCCGATGGGAAGCTGCTTCTGCGATGGCGAAGCTGCTTCTGCCGCTTGCCGATGGCGAAGCTGCTTCTGATGTGCCGATGCGAAGCTGCTTCTGCCGATGGCGAAGCTGCTTCTGCCGATGGCGAAGCTGCTTTCTGCGATGGCGAAGCTGCTTCTTGCTGCGATGGCCTTCTCTGCCGATGGCGAAGCTGCTTCTGCCGATGGCGAAGCTGCTTCTGCCGAAATGGTGATGCTTCCCCGTCGGCCATCAGTGGATCCCCCTCGCTGCTGGATCCGCCTTGGTCACTCCGCTTATATATTTTTATAACAAAGGCTAAGCATAATATAACTATAACGCCAACAGGAGTTATGACAAAATATTTTTTTTTGTTATTTCATACTATTATTGTACCAAACCTGCAGCTACTGAATCCTTTTTTAATTGCAAATTAGGTCTTATTTCCCTATATAACTGGGAATAAACCAGGCTCTTACACGGTGCATTTTTTATGCGGGGGCAATTTAAAAAAGTACAACTCGGAAGACTTGGCTATTATATCGTGAATTTTCGTCTCTTGTTGAATCAGCATTCTATTATATTGTTATGTTTACTTATTAAGTATAAGATGACACAAATGCTAACAATCGATAAAATTATGAAATTACATGTTTTCATTCTAAAGTTGATTCCACAAGACTGATACGCATCACTTCTTGTAATGAAGTTATGCTTCATTACAAATAAATAAATAAAATATATAAATAAAATAAATAAAATAAATTATAAATAAAAAATATCCCCAAGGTCAGATTCCCTGACCAAGTATATATCAACTGAAACACGGTGTATTAACACACAAACAACATTGAAATATGACGAATTTCGACGAGATGGAACGAGAAGGAAAAAAGAGAAATCGGCATCTCAAAATAAAGAAAAGAGGAAAAGGAAACAGAGAGAGAAACAAAACATAAGCGAGGCAAAGAAAACAAAAAAAAATATGTGGCCGTGACGTAACAATGGAACAAGAAGGAAACAAGAGAAACGAGAAACTACTCGACCCCAAGTAACGGTATCAAATACGAAAAAAAAGCACTAAATAATCCACAACGCAAGGAAATCCACGAATTCGGACAATATAACAAGGGAAGGGGGGGAGGGTAGGCGAATCGAAGGGGAGGAAGGCGTTAAAAGTTAAGAAGGGGGGAGGGGGAGGCATCGTAGGAAGGAGGGGAAGGGGGGACGTAGGTTTGCACGCAACGATAATAAACATACCGGAAGAGGAAAAGGAACAGAGACAAAAAAAATAAAAAACATGTGGCCGTGACGAAACAGAGTTAGAACAAGAAAGAAACAACAGGAGAAATATAACAAGGGAAGGAGGGGGAGGGTAGGCGAATCGAAGGAGGAGGGGAGGGTAGGCGAATCGAAGAGGGGAGGAGAAGAGCGGTTAAAAAGATAGGAAGGGGAGGGGAGGGCGAGGGGGGGGCATCGTGGGAAGCACAAATCTCAAATCAAAGAAAGAGGAAAAGGGAGGAACAGAGAGAAACAAATAAAAGCGAGACAGACAAACAAACACAAATTGTAGGTTGACAGGCCTACATTTTAATTATAGAGCGGAGGAGAGGGAGGGCGGGTTTTGTTTGTTGATAACGAAAAAAGACGAAATTCATTAAACCTCTTTACCTATCTACAACTTGGTGACTCGAGATCAAAATCAACCGAACAAATAACTAACCTTTGGTTCCACCTTTTCCTGCTCAGCCTCGTCTATAAGCTCCGTTTGCGGCTGTGTTGTTTGGCCGACGGCTGCATCCTCGTCGCTCGGGCCGTTGTCCTGGGAAACATTTCTGGGCAAAACGGCGCTGGTCAAGCTGGCGTCGTTTCTCCCGGGATGTCGGGCGTTCCTAGGCGTGTTACTCCGCTGCACGCTGCGCGTTTCCTGGGATGTCAGGATTATTGGGCGAACGATGAATGTGCTCCCGATGTAACCAGGTTGTGAATTTTAAGAGTGAGTGCGTGTGCGCATGCGTGTTCTGAGGTGGTGTGTATGTAACTTTTCGTCTTGACTAGAACTTCTTGCTGCCACCCTGTTAAGGCGGATGAATTTGGGAATAATTAATGTGATTGAAGAGAGAGAGAGAGAGAAACAAACTTTATGCGAACTCTACCTGTAAATGTATGTGCTCGTGAACATTGGGCCAAGGAAGTGGGGCGGCAACACCACGGCGAAGTCCACGGCGAAAACCAGGCTTGGTTGAGAGGAACGGTGCCAGAGGTTTCCTCAACAGCGGAGCGCAGCCCTGCATGAACTAGCCGCCTATGTAAACGAAGAAAGAGAAAAGGGGGGAAATGAGGGATAGTCCTACATACACAAGGAAAATGAGAGAGAGAGAGAGAGAGAGAGAGAGCGGGAGACAGACAGAGAGAGAGAGAACGTAAATCTCAAAAGGAATAATAAAAAATCATAATTTGAATTACTATAGATAAGGATCGAAAGACAGCTCGCTTGTTTAATTAATTTCCTATTTAGTTCAGGGTCATTTT